ATATTTTTTCTTCAATATTTAAAAAGTGAAAATAAAATTGTACAAAGGGTGCATCAGGCTTAGGTTCTGGTTTAGCAAATATCATTAATCTCTCAAATTTGACACTTATTCTTGGGTAAAAACAGTTTATTTGTTTTGGATTGTGATATTTTTAATTATAAAAACTAATTTAAAACAATAAAGCTCTTTTTTCTTTTTCTTTTTATTGTGCTTGCTTTTTTTTTTGTTATTTCTTTGTTTATTTAACTCATCATTTTATTTTTAACTTTTGCTTTTATTATTAATTAATCTATCTTATTATTTCATATTCTTTCTTCATTATTTCCTTCTAATTAACTATTTAATTGTATATTTTTTCTTAAATATTTAAAAAGTATAAATTAAATTGGTGATGAAGGTGCATCAGGCTTAGTTTCTGGTTTAGCAAATTGCATTAATCTCTCAAATTTGACACTTAGCCTTTAGTAAAAACAGTTTATTTGTTTTGGATTGTGATATTTTTAATTATTAAAACTAATTTAAAACAATAAAGCTCTTTTTTCTTTTTCTTTTTATTGTGCTTGCTTTTTTTTTTTGTTCTTTCTTTCTTTATTTATCTCATCATTTTATTTTCAACTTTTGATTTTATTATTAATTAATCCATCTTAATATTTCATATTCTTTCTACATTATTTCATTCTAATTAACTATTTAATGATATATTTTTTCTTCAATATTTAAAAAGTGAAAATTAAATTGGTACAATGGGTGCATCAGGCTTATGTTCTGGTTTAGCAAATTGCATTAATCTCTCAAATTTGACACTTTATCTTGGGTAAAAACAGTTTATTTGTTTTGGATTGTGATATTTTTAATTATAAAAACTAATTTAAAACAATAAAGCTCTTTTTTCTTTTTCTTTTTATTGTGCTTGCTTTTTTTTTTGTTATTTCTTTGTTTATTTAACTCATCATTTTATTTTCAACTTTTGCTTTTATTATTAATTAATCTATCTTATTATTTCATATTCTTTCTTCATTATTTCCTTCTAATTAACTATTTAATGGTATATTTTTTCTTAAATATTTAAAAAGTAGAAATTAAATTGGTGATGAAGGTGCATCAGGCTTAGGTTCTGGTTTAGCAAATTGCATTAATCTCTCAAATTTGACACTTGAGCTTTGGTAAAAACAGTTTATTTGTTTTGGATTGTGATATTTTTAATTATAAAAACTAATTTAAAACAATAAAATAAAGCTCTTTTTTCTTTTTCTTTTTATTATGCTTGCTTTTTTTTTTGTTATTTCTTTGTTTATTTAACTCATCATTTTATTTTCAACTTTTTCTTTTATTATTA